TCTCTCTCTCTCTCTCTCTCTTCTCTCTCTCTCTCTCTCTCTTCTCTCTCTCTCTCTCTCTCTCTCCTCCTCTCCTCTCTCTTCTCTTTCTCTCTCTCTTCTTCTCTCTCTCTCTCTCTCTCTCTCTCTCTCTTCTCTCTCTCTCTCTCTCTCTCTCTCTCTCTCTCTCTCTCTCTCTCTCTCTCTCTCTCCTCCCTCCCTCCCTCCCTGTCTCCCTCCTCCTGTTCTCCCTCCCTTTCCCTCTCTCTCCCTCCCCTTTCTCTCTCTCTCCCTCCCTTTCTCTCTCTCTCCTCCCTTTCTCTCTCTCTCCCTCCCTTTCCTCTCTCTCCCTCCCTTTCCTCTCTCTCCCTCCCTTCCCTCTCTCCCTCAAGGTTATTCATAAAAATAATCCTATCTACAACCTAAATATTCTATTAATAGAAAATTACATCCTATTTCACCAGTATTTGGCATTTAGTTGAGTTTCTTTTCTTCTTTTCTTTTTTCTTAAAGGTCATTCCAAGATTTGTTTTTCTTTATTTTACAGGTATCAGGTGGAAGTGAATGGATTATGCGTCTTATTGCAAAAAAGAGAGCAATACTAAGAGCAGCTAAGAAAGCCCAGAGAAATCGTAAACATCTTAAAAAGCATCGCAAGAAGGCTCAACAGTATCTCCGATCCTTCACTTCAAGCAGAAGACAGTAATTATACAATTATTATAGTTGTTTTTAGTTTAATTATTCATATACTTTAATCATTAATCATATCACTTAAAGTGTTTTACAACTGTGTTAAGGGATCATATACAGTTATATTTACTCATCATATGTAATCACTAAATGAATAGTATCCATTAAATACAATCCACATATATTGATGGACTTTTGTACACTAAAAACATTTGATGTTAATAGTAGGCCTCTTCTAGGCTGATATAAACAATATATTCTTATATGACTAGCTATGTGATATATAGATATAAGAATCGTGTAGTACCATTCCAGACAACTTTTTTTTAATGTGTTGGAATGGATTGTCTAGTGTATAAATTTGCTATTTAGGAAGAATAAGTAGTAATTACATAGATCACTATAACCAAAGTGAAAAACTGTTATGTACCTGAATGCGATCTAATTAGATTCAGTATCTCTCTCCCCAGATATTTATATCATCCTGAGGGACAAAGTTCATTAGAAGGAAACAGTGGAAGGAGCGAATCTGCTGGCCTTCCTAGTGCCATGGAAGGCAGTGCTGGGAGACTGAGGCGAAGATCTTCCTTCCGCAGAAGATACATGGCTCCATATACTATCATGGTAACACAGAACACTGTACCAGATTCTGACCCAGATTCAGATGACCAAGAAGACGGTGATGATGATCAGGTTGGAAGTGAAACTGATGAGGAGATTGAAACAATTGAACAAAATTTTAGTGAAGGGGACAGTGGCAAACGTCTCATGTGGTCTTCTGACAGTGATTCCAGTAGTGAGGAGGACCTACCACGTACAAAACGAAAACGTAAAGACTGTATTGATAGTGATAGTGAAGATGATGATGCTCTTGAGACTAAAAATGGAGATATCATACGGGTATCAGAAATTGTGGACTCAAATTCAAGTGATTCAGATGTAGAAAGATCAATCAATGATATAGTACTGGAAAATTCGGACAGAAATCTTAGCAGTGAAGGCACTAGCAGTAGAGTTACTTGCTTACCTGATATTTTAAGTGATACCAGTCTGTCTGAGACAGCCTTAGGTATTAATAGCAATGGAGTCAGTGACATTGGTACTGACCTGAACATTAGCAGTGCAGTAAGTGATGCAATTCCAATCAGCAGTATCACAACAGATGACAATGGATCTTTATTATTTGATACAGACCACAACTCGCTTGTTTCTGGTTTAGATCTCCCAGGAAGCCTAGATTTGGTTGCATCAGCAGCATCTAATCGAAAGCCAGTGCAGAACGGAACCAGTCAGACATCCAATGGCGCTACATGTGTTAGTACATCAGATAATGGAATCTCAGTTCTTCCATCTAGTACTGAAAAGAGTGAAGATGACTGTGGAAGTAGGAAAAATCATGACAACAGAAATGGTGTCACTGAAACAGAAAATGGAAATGGTGATGGTGAACAAACTTTAACATTTAAGAAGAGAATGCCTACAAGTAATCTTAGAAATTATCGAAGACACAATGAAGAAGACCTTTGAAATTTATTGTGGGAAAAAAATGTACATTTCTTTTTTATGATTACCTAAATGGCCTTTGTCAGTTTCTGCTATTTTCCTTTCACCTTTGTTAATATTTAAGAAGTATTTTTTTGCTGCCATTATTTGCTTTATAGATTTATATTGTAGTTGTAGAGTTGAATATATACAGTATAGGCCATTGGGCATTGTGTGATATGTAATCTATTTTGAAATAGATTAAATGAATTTGGAATATTAGCTGTTTGTTTAGATACAGTCTATATTGTTTGATCACCAAAGAAGCCAATTTGACATTTTTTATCTTTTTCAAAAAAAGGGGGACGCTATGAAGGTCTGGCACGAAAATGTGTTAAGGAAGATGCTCACATTGTGTGCATATTGGGCTCAAATTCTCTTACCAGAAGTTGCTTATTTTATGTAAATTATAAAAATTCATTTGCCATAGTTCTGACATTTTATATGATTTCATACAACTAAACTGATGTATTTTTTGAGTCATCATGTTAGTTTTTGGTACAAGATAGTAATACCATACAGTTTTTACTGTTATTTTTGCTCTTTGTTCAGGTATTCTGCCAACTGCTGGGGTCATATGCTGCAGAAGTAGGCTTTTTCATTCAGCCATTTTACATTGTCATTGTATTTAATTATTCATCATCATTAAACTTCTGGAGCCTAGCAATTGTAGTGAATGCCCTGAGTGTGTGTGACCAGGGGCAGTATTCACGAAAGGTCAGTGACTCGTCTTAGAGATTTTGTCTATGATTTGTTCTGTTGCTACATCTCGAAGTTCATGCTGCTATTTAGAACAAACATTTACATCATTATAGACTGATGATTGCTGATTGCAGTAATACAATTTACTACATACTGCAAAAAATTCATTTAATTTGTTAGTGACCCTACAAAAGTCTTTGACAGTCATTTTTTTCTCTATGACTCAGACAGAGTTTTAAGACGGGTATGGAGTGTCCCACACATATAAGTAGAGTCTTTGAGACCACAGTGCAAATTTACATAACTGTGATCTGATGTCAAATGTTAATATAGCCATTTCCTACATTTTCTTTTTATTTTCATTTCATGTCCATAAGGACTGTTTTTATTTTGTCTTCATGCAATTTTTCTCACATTGAAGATTACTCTGCATTTGAAATAATAAGGAAAAATTGGAGGGTCTTTTGATTTAGTGTCCGTTGTTCATTGAGCCATCCTTACATTTCTACTACAGTATTTTATGTAAAAAATACAAAAGCAATTCCTACCATTACAACTGATGCAATTACAACAGACATGTGGTATCACATAACAGTTAGATATACTACAAGTGTAATCATAATATAAGTAACATTTATTGTAATATTAACCTTATCATATTATTACAATAAATTATCAATGATATAAATGTTAGTTCTAATTAGCAGCTTTAACTTAGACCTGTGGCATCAGCACAAATCACAGACAAAATCACAAAGAACAGTCATAGACCTTTCGTGAATATCACCCCTGGAATCTAGTTTGATAGATTATCAAGTTTTCAGTTCTTGATTGCTAATATTTTTGTGCTTATGGTATTCTCAGTAAAAGGGTATTTTTACCTTTAAATTTTGCAGTATTTTTTATGTAACTTGCAAAATATGTAAAAAAAAAAAAAAAAAAAAAAATCAGATACAATATGTTGATACAGAACAAATGCTGTATTTGTTGTTTTTCTCTGTGGATATATGAAAAAACAGAAAGATAAGGAAATTGACAACTGTTCAGTTTTCTTTTCTGTTGCAATGAATGTATTGAAAATGAAAGAGTTTCTTTCCTACCACTGTCCACATTCTAGTTATATTAGACCTATTTAGAAGTATTACCATGAGGGATAGCTAGCAATATTTTTCATAGGAGAACAAAGTATTGAACTAGTTGAAAAAAATATTCACATTTCAAGATTATTAGAAATTTGAACTTCTATAGTTATATCAGTAATATCACAAAAAAGAAAGATTTATCATGGATACTCTGGGAGAATTTGGGATAGTATGCACAGCCAACTGGGCTTGCCCTTTTTCAGACATGAATGTTGCATTATACTTGCCATGGAGTACCAGCAGTGTAATTATATATATATATATATATATATATATATATATATATATTATATAATATATATATAATATATATATATATATTATCACATATGCAAAACATGATTTTAATGTTTTTGCCTATTCAGATATGCATGATATGCATTTAGTTGCTAAATTGAATCTGTAGTAGCCTGATTAGAGTCCAGTAAATAAGGTGTTACACTCTCTGTATTAGATGGAATGTGGTTTTATTGAGGGATAAGAATAAGTGATTGTATGCAGTGATACACAAGCCTTCAGTATGGCTTCAGTACTTCCCTTTTTTGTGTCATACTTCATGACATTAATACTGGCAGAGTGCCAAAATACAAAGTGAGTTGTTTACAAGAGGAGACTGATCACATAAAGGAGAGTGTAGGACACCAACAAGGTCACATCAGCCTCAAGAGAGTACCATGTTTTGGTGCATGATATCTTTCAGACATAACAGGCAAATGACTGATGTACTAAAATTCACCCTTTATACAAAACCATAGCTAATCACAGCATTGCCTCATGCAATGACCATGGCTGGTATAGGCATGTGGGTTCCTTATATAGAAATGCATAAAATGTAATGCATGCATCATTTTAACATGTGAATGACCCATCACCCGGAGCCAAGGCCAAGTCAGCCATGACATGAATGTCATATCATCCAAAGGAAAAGGGTTAAAATTCATGAACCATATTATATTTGATAAATATATATAGGAGGATTTTTTTTTCTCATAGGAATATCATTAATTTGTATATTTTTCTCATTTTATTTTCCTAAACATAGAAGCTTTTACAAACTTATACTGGTATATCTTCCTAATTTTGTCAAACAAAAAAACAAAAGCACACAGTTATGCTGGTGTACCTGCTTAATTGTGTCAAACAGGAAAAACAATAGGCAGACCATACAAACATTTGGAATGGATAGTAATAAATACATTTTGTATAATTTATATCATACACAGTTTCCTGTAAACTGATGTCAAGATAACTTATAAGACAAAATTGTACTTGACACATCTTACTTATATTGTAAAATTAAGAAGCATAAGAAAAAAACTCCTCTTCAAAGTACATGATTATTCTATGAATAATTGTCAATACAAGTTTATTTTCTTACATAAATCTAGATATAATGAAAACACTTCATGTAATAACATTCTGATGAAACAAGATATAAAGTAAAAATCTAAACAGTAATAGTTGCAGTGATGAGCCTTGAAGAAACCTGCTCCTCTTTAGTCATTATCTTCAACTATAAATGGCGTACTTCTTTTTATCTACCTGAAAAGAGAAAGATATGGCTGATAATAAGCAGTATAGATCTGTTAAATGGCATATAGGTTATGTTACAGTAAAAAATCATTACTGCCACTAATTGTAATTACAATTACTTGCTACACATAGAAAGCAAACATTGTATGCATAGGAATAATAGTACTGCCATATTAAATATTGATAAGTTTATAGGAAAGAGTGCACGATTTTTCATTCCAGGGCCTGAAAAAATTAAGTTTTGGGATTCCTTTGCATCCACATTGGGTTTTATGTATTAGCAACAGATATTTTTAAAATCCTTGCAAGAAGTTAGACAGATATTTCAACTTTACAATCTTTCAGCAACTGGATACATATCTTATTTCATCCATTTGCATTTACAAGTACATCTACAATTGCCCCACTGGCTTCACTCTGTCTTAAATACATGCATACTGGGAGATGGATAAATGCACTAACTGATTTGCCCAATATCACTGTTGACTGCATGGGCATACATGCCAAGCCCACTGAGAGTTAGTTAATTATCTTTACACATATATGGCTCCACATGTTTAGTCATCAATGAGTCAATTACTAGTACTACTTACCTCATATATTTATGCATCCTTGATTTTTGGAAATATTTTCTTTTCTCTTATATTGCTATTAGTAATGTTGATAATATGATAATTATAATGTCTAATGATAATAACAGGAATGATACTGATAACATTAGTATTTAAAAAATCCTGGCTGATCACTTGTGTAGCCATCTATGTGTAACATTTCATAAAACGATACTACAGTGATATTTAATTATCCCAGCAGCAGTGGGTTTAGCAGATCAGGATCACAGACACACACATGCATGCGCACACCCACACAACACAACATAACCACAACACAGCACAGCACACACATACACACGCACGCACACAAGAACGCAACCCTCCCCCCCCCACACACACACAAATATCCTCAATTAGTACACATTATACACATCACATAAAAATATGCACACATAATTACATTACAGATACTTCTTTCTTACAGATACATAAAGTAGTAATTTCTTTGCTCTATAGTAGTGTCATGCAGCCGGTTGTTAGAACTGACCCAATGAATATTCATATATACAGCCATGCATATTCGCAGAAATAAATGCATTTCTGTTTATCGATCTATCGATCGATCGATCTATCTATCTATCTATCTATCTATCTATCTATCTATCTATCTATCTATCTATCTATCTATCTATCTATCTATCTATCTATCTATCTATCTATCTATCTATCTATATCTATCTACTATCTATCTATCTATCTATCTATCTATCTATATCTATCTATCTATCTATCTATCTATCTATCTATCTATCTCTATATCTATCTCTATATCTATATCTATCTCTATATCTATTCTATATCTCTATCTAATCTATCTCTATCTATCTCTATCTCTATCTCTATCTATCTATCTATCTCTATATCTATCTCTATCTCTATATCTATCTCTATATCTATCTCTATATCTATCTATATCTATCTCTATCTCTATCTCTATATCTATATCTATCTCTATATCATCTATCTCTATATCATCTATCTCTATATCATCTATCTCTATATCATCTATCTCTATATCATCTATCTCTATATCATCTATCTCTATATCTATCTCTATATCTATCTCTATATCTATCTCTAGTAGATATGCATGCATAGACTAACAGATATGCATTTACTTTAATGTATATGCATGTCATTACATTGAATATTCATTGGTTTGGGCCTTGCACAATTTTAACAAACCTGCTGATGGTCTCATGTTTGTGGTTCACAAAGATTCTTACCCAGTAACTGAACTTTAAGACAACCTTGCAGTCCTGAACTGGTGGATGATGTGCTGTTTGACTCTGGAAAACCTAAAGTACAAATGTAATTAAGTCCTTTGTTTATATTTACAATTAGAAAATACTAGAAATTTTTCACACCTGAGCAAAGTTATTTTGAGTCCTGGTTAATAATAAATCCTATATTTCTATAAGTAAACATGTTAAGCTAGGCTGGAGGTGATACTTTAATACAGTTGTTCATATCTGTAACCTAAAATGAATTTTTGCCATAAAATATGACATCAAGATAGTTTTTCTATTAATGTGTAATAAATTTTATGTATAATCAATGGTTAATGGTTAAAAAGCAAAATAAATGTGCTAGACATCTAAGGTCATATAGCACTATAGGAAAGTATATTAAAGGAGGGATGAAGAGTGATAGTTGCTATGCATCAACTATCTAGAGTGATCTTGAAAGGTTAAAGATGGGTAAAGAAGTTGCTGTGTGAATGGGCTATAGTGGGTTTAGGTAAGGGAATTACCCAAGTGTTTCACGTGTGTATCCAGGAAGGAGTGGAAATGATAGAGGGGATGGTGGGAGGGAGAATGTATGTGTAGTTGAAGTTGAGGGGGTGGGTTGTGTTGGAGGGAATAGGAAGAAGTGGTGTAGGGGGAATACAAGTAGGAGGAGGATGGGTGTCCAGAGGATGGATATTGGCAGTAGTTGGAGTTGAGGGGCTGGGTTGTGTTTGGGAGGGAATAGGAAGAAGTGGTGTAGGGGAATACAAGTAGGAGGAGGATGGGTGTCCAGAGGATGGATATCGGCAGTAGTTGGAGGTGAGGGGGATGGGTTGTGTTGGGAGGGAGCAGGTGGAAGGGATGTAGGGGGAATATGAGTAGGAGGAGGATTGATATCAGTAGTATTAGGAGGATGGATATCAGTAGTATTAGGAGGATGGATATCAGTAGTATTAGGATGGATAGATATTGGTAGTAGGCAGAATTGAGAGGGAGTAGGAGGGAGGGGAGTAGGGGGAATATGAGCAGGAGGGGGATGGATATCTGCAGTCACTTTGAGTGTGGAGGGAGCATGAGTTGTGGAATTTTGTGTCTCAAGCATATAGCTTTGAATATCTTCCAAAGTTTCTGTCGTGGAGTTAGTTGGAGAGTTTTGTGAGAAAGGTTTTCTTATGAGGGGTGTAGAGGACACTGATGTCTGAGAATTATAGGCAAAGGTAGGTGGAGGTGAGTGGGCGGTATGGAGAAGAAGGGGGGGATCGTTTAGTCTGTCAGCAGCGGGTAGTGCAAAGGATTGGGGGGGGATATATATAGTCAAAGTAAAGGAAAAATCAGGAGCATAATTCAGACACCAACTGATTACATGAAATGGGTCAATTATGAAAATATGAAAATATATTTTAAAACAAATTTTAATAACTTATCTTTATTTTATGAAGAAACAGTAAAAAAATTATTCTTAAAAAAAATGTGATGATTTATCTTTATGGCTTCTATAACAATATGTAATAAATATCAGTAAATTTGTTCAATGTTCACTAAGTATTAGAAGACACTAAAAATTCCTGCCTTAGGTGACACCATTCCAAATGTTATTTTCCTAATAATATTGGTTAGATAATATTAACTTGACTCATTTCTTCAAACCATAAAAAGATTAGGGTCCCCATTTCCTCTATTAAACACACACCAATGGGGATGGCATGTGCATACATGCCATGTCCACTATGTGTTTAATTTAGTAATTGTTTTTACACATAGATGGCTCCACGAGTACTTTGTCACCAATAAGCCAATTACTAGAACTACCTATCTCACCCATTTACCCTTTTCCTTGATTTTTTATTATATTTTCTTGTGTTTGATATTGCTGTTAGTAATGCCAATAACACTCTAGTAATCATGATGTTTATGATAAAAATAAGAGTGTCAATATTGATAGCATTAGTAAAAAGAAATGTTTTTCCTGCAAACTCAGGGAAAGGCGTAATCAGTTGAGGTCACAAGATCTACTAATTGATTCCTTTGTGGTTAAGCACTGGCAGAGCCATCTGTGTGTAGAGACATTTCACAAAACAATACTACAGTGAACACATTTTCCGGGGGTATTGGGTTAACTTAAATTTCACATTGTACAAAAGGTGCAAAGAATTCCAATGAATACTTTTCATATTCAGCAGCTAACTGTATTGTATTACATGTTGGTCAATGGATATTGTAAAGCTGATTTGTTCCTTCATTAATTAACACATGCCAGTCTCGTCTATTTGACAGTTTAATCAAAATTTACTTTACATAGGTCTGCAGGTGCTTTGGTAACGTTTTGATTAGTTAATTGAAGTTAATGGTTACAAAAGATAATAAACTGGCCAGACATCAAAGGTCATTTAGTACTACAGACACATGTATTAGTGAAAAGGGTAAAGCAGGGGGTCAGCTGATGATTAAATGTGCTACACGTCAGAAGTTGTACAGCAGTTCAGGAAGTTAGGTATTAACAAGGGTGATTAGCTCAAAGTTGTTAAAGGGAGTGTGGGATTCTGCAAGGATATCCATAGGATGAGGTAGAGATTAGCAAAAGGAGAAAGGGGTTTAAGAAAAATTAAATCAAAATTTCAGAAAAATGTCAGGAGGGAGAGAATCCAGGGAAGGGGGTTATTGTCAAAAAGGGTCCAGGGGGAATTGGAAGAGATAATGGGGAAGGAAGGGGGGGATGATGTAGCTGAAGCAGGGGGAATGGATGTGTTGGGAAGGAGTATGAGGAAATGGTGTAGGGGAAACATGAGTAGGATGATGGATGTTGGCAGTTTTAAGTGTAGAAGGAGTGAGAGCAAAGAGATTGGAGGATGGATGAGCTGTAGACATGTTATCTTGGGCCAGATTAGATAGTTTTGAATGTCTTCAAGAGTTTCTGAAGTAGAGTTGGTTGGGGAGGTCTGAGAAACAGGTTTTCTTACGAGGGGAGAAGAGGGGACAAACATTTGCAGGTTGAGGGAAAGGTTGATGTTAGAGAGGATGCAGTAGAAGATGGGGTGGAATGTTTAGCATGTCTTGTGCAATGAGTTGGGCAAGAGGAAGAGGGGTAGGTACTAGGGAAGTAAAGATTTGAGTGTCTGGATTAGTGGTGGAGATTAGGGTGTTTGAATTTAGAATGGCAAAAGAATTTGACTGAGGAAGGGAGGGGGTAGGAATGGGATGAGGTAGAGATACTGAAGGAGGTGTAGAAACATCATGGAAGGGTGGGGGGAGGGCAGAGTAAAGGCCAGTACTGGTGCATGGAGTAAGAGAAAAACCTTGTCTGCATGCTTCCTGTCTGGCCTCACAAAAAGTGAGGCCAAGATTGCATCTGAGAATTGCTACCTCAGACTCAAAACCTGTATTTATGGCAACCCCTATGAAATACTTTATGGGAGCCACAACATTTGCCACATGTGCAAGATTGTTCAGAGCAGTTTGATCAATCATGACCAAGATGGGCAAACAGTAGGCATTGGGCTGTAGCACAGCAGTTTTTGGCAGGATGGCCTAGACGCCAACAATTCTGACGTTGATGGAAGAGAGGTTGATACGATCAGACAAGGAGGGAGTCTCTGCCAATGTAAACATTAAGGGGTAGGTCATGTCTACGGAAAGTAATCTTGGAAATATTGGTGGAGGACTTACAGCAGCCTCCAGGGGGAATGGTGTAGCATTGTACTGATACTGTATAATAGTCAATGAGGCAGGCAAGTAAGTCTTCTCCACAATCTGACCAATCTTTGCTGAAGACAGGGCATTTTTTGTTGAGATCATGACAGTTCCAGTAAAGGTATTGAGAAACGGATGGGGCTGAGCAGTAATGGGTTTGCCAGTGAAGTCAGTTAAGGTTGATAATGCTTTAGCTCAGGCTTCAGATGTAAATGAGACGAGGCAGGAATGATCAGGGCAGCTGCAAAAGGAAACTTTGCTTACCTGTTTTTTGGAAGTATTGCTGGAAGAGGAGAATATTGTCAGAGTAAGGGGGTGCAGAGGGGATTACAAAAAATCAATCCCATTTAATCCAATTTGGCTGGGCTGAACAGAGCATTCAAAAGGTTTGTAGGAGTGGGGTTAATAGAAGGGCAGGAACATATGGAAGAGAGAGTACTGAGGACTGGTGGACAATAAGGCTACAGAGTAGTAATAGGGGAGGAAAGGATAGTGGATGAAGAAAGCTGTGGGAGTGGAGGAGATGAAGTAGAGGTTAGTGGGAGGGGAGTGGTTTTAAGGAGCTTAATAAAGACCTGGGTGGACCTTTTGGACTGGAATGAGGTGATAGTAAGCATTGAGGATGGGGTAGTAGTAGCAAAGTAGTAGTAGTAGTAGTAGTGGTCAAAGAAGAACCTGGGGTCAGGAAATTGGGAGAATTTAAAACTGTGGGGCTAGCTGATAAAGGGGCAAGCCTCGGTACCCTAATAAGGGAGTAAAGTCTTGATAAATGGCCATAGTGAGTCTGGAGCATGGGGAGAGACAAAGTCAGCCTTTCATCCTTTCAACACAGTTCTCACACCTTAGGGAGTGGATAGTAGAAAGAGGAAAAATAAAAGACCATGCAAAATTAGTCGCGTCGAGGACTGAGGCCCATGGCAGAGATGACCCCCAGCCTTGGATCCCAATTTTCATCTCCTTACCCCTCCCCACCAAGTTACAATGGGCATGGGATAGGTGGGGAGGTGATTAGTAATGTAAATAAATCAACTGAGACATAAAATTTGGAGTTTAATCCTGGTACAGATTTGATAAAGCACCAACTTATATTTACCAAAAAAATGCATTCTGTTAAGCCATCTGATTCAGTAGAGTATCATGACATTCATTTCCTTCAACTTAAATGATACCTATCTGATTTTTAAGTCCCTCCTTTTGATTATAATTAGTAAAAATAAGAAAGCCAAAAAATCTGAATTTTGTATTTTCAAAAATACTTACATGTATCCTAAGAAAGACTGCGGAAAAATTAGAAAAAAATATAAAGCTCTACTAACTATCCTCCTTCAAGCAGATAAACAGTTATTCAAGAAATTGTAGTCATTCATACGGTAACACATAGT